AATAAAATATTGATTTCGAAATAGAAGGCTTCTCCTCTTATTATATTTATGATATTATTTAATTGGATAACAAATTATAAGTAATATTATACTAATATGATAATGATATAATAATTATAATGAACAATAATGGATCATATGAATGTTCTACATAAGATTCGAATTATAGTTATTTATCAGTTGAGCAGTTATTGAATACTTGAAACCATTATTGGATATTTATACTTTTAAACATTAAGGATTATAATAATGGTGAATGTGAAAATAACTAAACTGTATTTAACACGTATTTTGAGTAATATATATTAAAATGTAGAAAATTCTACTTCATAACAAATATAGAGATTAGTTCATTTATCAAACATGTTTTGAAATAGATTACTTTAACATTTAAAAATTAAGGATGCATAGTTGAAAGGATCTGAGCACTTTGATGTAGTTTATGTCTATTTCTTGATGTGAAACAGTAGTTCATATTCATTTACATCTATTTATTAAGACGATAGCATAAAATACATTTGGACAAAAGAATCATAATTATAGAAATGAAATGTTCAAGTTTTTCTGAATCCTAATAGAATTATTTCTTAGCATGGTATATATATATCACGTCTGTAACTACAATCAAATTATAGAAATACCACCAGGAATAATGTAGGATAGAATTAGAAGTATAAAAGTATACCTAGTAATGCGAATATTTAGAAATAAACAACGTAAACTTCAGGACATAAATGTTAATGCCATATTGCTTCTAAAATAATGACAAGTCAATTCAGTCAACCATTATCATAAAGTACAGTATGAATTCACTATTACTTCAGGGACCAGACTTAGGAACTATAATTCTCGAGAAACACACATAACAATTAAAAACACTAGGTTATTATTCAGTTATACTATCCTATTTTCAATAGGTTTGAAATATATATATATATATATATATATATATATATATATATATGGAGGGCAAGAGAAGAAATAATGAAAAAATAATATGAAACACGATATGAAAATCCATCACTCTGGATAATAAGCCGATATTACCTGGGTAGGTTTAAGGTGAGAACAAACTGTTTTTGAATACACAAAGGGAGTTTGAGTTTCCATGTGACTAAGGCTTCAGTAAACCTTAGTATACGCCCTTTCAAACTTTTGTACAATATCACAAAAGCCGTGTTAAGGCCAAACTTATGGCCTTTTTCAACTATATGTTTGGTAAAAGAGGATGATGGATGTTTACCATTTACTACCACTGAATCATTTGATTTTATTTGTTTTTGTAACCATTTAGGTACATGTTCATAAACCCTAATTTTGAGATCACGATTATTCCTTCTTATACATATGTGGCCACACATACGTTTAAATTGGTAAACACAGTGGGATGTCAATCATTCACATAGTTCTGATAATCTTTGTTTTCTTATCACACTACCCAAATTTATTAAAGGGATAGATATAAGTTGCATGTATCAGAAATTGGAAGTAAGATTCTTACTGATAGGAGAACCTGAAGTGAAGAGAAAAAATAAAAGCAGTCCGAGTAACAACAGCAATGAAAGAACGATAGAGTTTGTAAGAGACAATTCAAGAAAGGTGTGCAAATGCCGTATTGAATGTATTGTTTTCATATTGTACAAATGTAGTGTGTAATTTTATCTAATACACCAAATTGGTTTACACTAATCAAATCTTCGTTCATTACAACAGTAATAATAATAATACTAATAATAACCATATTTTGCCAAATATTTTTAAAGAATTATACGATTAATTTAACCATCTAAATTTCTTTGCTTACTATATCATATTGATCTTGATAAGATGTAAACATTCCTTTTAAAAAGAACATATAGTCTCAACGTCAGAATAATAATATTCACTAAATACTATTATGTGGCTTGATATTAGTTTTAAATCATAAAGCAGGATTTAAAACAACATTTTATAAGCCAAACAAAAGTTGGATAAATCAATTTTATCTTACAACCGTTAAGAATATGATAAGATCATTGCACAAATTAAAAAGTTTAGGAAAGTCAGCTTACAAGTTAATATTAAACAATAATGATGACTAAGTTGTCATTGTTATATATGAGGTCTCAATAGTTGAATTCATAAGTTGATCTAAGTTAAACCACCATTGAAAAACTGGAAACACTTCAGTAGTGGTCTATCTTAAATCGACTCATGGATTTAATTATTAAAACTACTACACTCTCCACAAATCACCATATGAAGTCTTTGTTTTTCGATAGTTGAATAAACTGGAAACACTTAATACTTATTACTGTTCATGTATGGTTGAAATAGCTCATATATTTCGAGTACTTTGTTTCTGTTGTAATTAGTTAAAATGATACAAGCTCTTTATCTTATTAAGTTTGTAATATGAAATTTATTTTATCATACCCAAAATAAGATGAGTATTTACAAAATATTAGCCTACTACTTGTTGTAAAGTTTATATTGGAAAGTGTTTATTTTCCCTTGAAAAAGTTGATCAATCGTTGAACGCCTGATTTTTTTTTCTGTGTTTCACACGCTTGATAAGATTATCAGTGTTATATTATGTAGAAATCGTATATTAGAACAAAACAACTATTCATTTATTTCTAATATATGACCATACTACTACATTTTAAAATGTTGCAAAATTATGATAATTCGATAATGCAATTAACTTTTGTTTTTATTTCAACGAAAACAAAAGTCAATTAAGACTAGATAAAATAAACAATTCACTGTGAAAGTATTATATAAGAACAAGCCAATTAGAAACAAAGACGTAACTTTAAAGTTTTAGGCACAAAATCTAAATATCACGTATAACAAGTTGTAGAAATATCTATGTATACTGTTCAAAACATTTAAACTGATAACGGAAAATTACTTTTTATCATCACAGAATAAAAACAATAATGTCAAACAAATCAAACGCTCAATTTTGTCTATGTCTGTATCATATAATAGGTAAGTCGATATTCACTCAAATCCTAGCTCTCAATCCGTAATCCTATGACAAACCCAGACCCAGTCGAGCTATATTTTACAGATGAACTAGTTAGACAGTGTCTCTTAGATTTACGTTTAAAAATTATTTATTCATATGGTCATAGAGAATTGTTGCATTATAGATGATGTAAGTTCACGATGAAAACTAGAACGCCGTCCTTATAGTGGATATACTCTTGAATAATCTTCAGTGTGTAAACATTAATATCATACTGACCAACATAAACAGTGATTATATGTGTTTTTTTAAATACGTTTGTTTTAATTTATCCTAGAGTGAATTAGATTTCGTTTAAAAAAGGTGAATTTTTCAAAATTGTAAATATTATAAAATAACCACTTATTTACGAAAATATCTTTTCATTTCGCACAACTCAATTTACTGTTGAAATAAATAAAACATTATGCTAAAAAAGCGTAGCTTTAATCATGATAACAGAGAACAGTGAAGTAGAAAGCTTGTACTGACCTATGCTTTATTTCAACTAACTATAATCTGATTAAGAGAACATCTGGAACAAATAATTATTTCACATAACCATTCATTTGTATAATTAACGATGATATTTTAAAAAATATAGATATGAATATGCATTTTCCTTACTAATCATTTCATATGACTTTTTACAAGTTCACATAAATAAGTCAACCAGTTATTGAATTGTTTTCATTTCCATGTTAAGTAGTTTATTGTACTAAATAAAATGTCAAGCTTTATAAAATTACATTATTTATCTGTAAATAGCAAGTGTTATCACATGTAAAATCTAAATAGTTCTAGTAGTATAGAAACGATAAAAAAATTAATAATATATGAGTTTGTAACAATTGCTCGTAGTAAATTCAGGAAGCATTTTCATCAGTATGAGGTTATGGAGACTGCTGGGTTTTTGATTGAGATCATAAACCAATCAATGTTAGACCACCATTAAGAAACTAGGAGCACTGAAAGACGGTTTCATCCTAGTGTAGGACTCCTCAGCAGTGTTCATCCATGATCCCACATGTGAGATTCGAACCCAGGACTTCTGGTTTCGCGCTCAAACACATAACCTCTAGACCAGTGAGCCGCCGTCAAACAGTTTAGATATCTAACTTCAACTAAGCCACGAAATTGAGCGATCATCTTCCATTGTCTGTCTCTACTTGACACAGATTAACCTTGCTAGTCACGTCATCTTACTATAACTCCACTATTAAAAACCTGGAAGCACTGGACAACCATTTCTTCCTATTATGGGAATCGGTTCATTATCTCCATTAAAACTCAAAAATCTCCACAACATTTATCAACTAATTATTATAAATAATATATAAATAGTAAATGAAACACTACTACAGTATGTATTTTATCAGCATCAATTAGAAAACTTGAGATTTTTATCTATTTGGTTTGTATGACTTCATATAGGCGGTTACAGTGTGTAGAAAAATATTAATCTTATACAAATAATTATCAATCTATAGTGTGAGTCATAGAGATGTCCCCTTGTAACTTTTGCAAACTGACAATATAATGTTTAGCGTGATAATCAATGGGTTGATATAAACCTGTTAGAATCTGTAGAAGACAATAATTTAAAAACAAATTATCCATGAAGTTTCAAAATGTAGTTTAACGTAAATATTTCCTATATCTGAATTCAATTCAAATACAGTACAATGTCAAATGTTGATAAACAAACAAAGTGAGTTATAAAAATGCCTAACTTCCACTGAACTAGCTCTTCTAAAAATAAAAACTATCTATAATCAAGTGTTCACAAGTAGATAGAAATTTGTCGACTGATCATTATACCCCTCAAAATAATTTGCACTTCAATGATATCAAGCACATATGATGGTTTGAGGAAAATAAATACCATTTCATTTAGTATCTGTGTGCATAAAGCATTGCCACATCTTAAAAACCAAAGCATTCGTGATGCTACAGAAAACCAAATATTTATTTGAAATACAAGAAAATTATATATACTGCTTACTTGTTATTACCGGCTTTTCCATTCACTTCAATACAATCACCATATTGAAGAGCTGAAGGTAAAGAAAATTCAACTTTCATTTTTTTTAATATTTGAAATTCCAATATGAATTAGTAATTGATCATACAAATTGTCTTGTAGTTTATTTTTTCTTTCTTACTTTCTTTCTCAAACTTATTTTTATAGTTTTATTGCGTCCGTTTTAAATTTCCTGATTAAAATGAAACTGGTCTATGGAACCTTTGAATAAGAACTATTGCATAATACAACATTTTAGGTTAAATAAATTGAAATTAGCATTTATAACACTTTTGATGACAATATTAACTGTTATAGAATAATATCATAGGAAACATTTTTAACAATACATCAATGTAAGTAATGATGAAAATGATAACTATTCAATCATTGTATAATGGCATTGTTTTCATTTGAGATAATAAAACAAAAACGAATATCGATGATGTAGATTTCAATACTGATTCATCATATTCTAGTGTGTGTCATCATTACAAAATAATAATAAACTCAAAATGATTTGTTATCCAATATGTGAATAATACGTACAATACGTACAATACGGTCGTTAGGTATTAAACTCATATCTAGTCAAATTTATGCTTTGTCCGCCCACACACAATGTGCATAGAAATATGTTAGTGTGCACATGTAAAGTGTAATTATTTTAATATTCTGCTTCATACTAGACACACAATACATACATCAATAAACAAATACACGCAAACAACCTTAATAACAGTGTATTTCATCTATTGTCATTTGCTCCTTTTTTGTACGTGATCGATTATTAATGGAAGTAAAAATATAATTTGTGTGTTTATACACCAATAAAGTGACAGAGCATTTTTATTGGTTACTCAGATCACTCGTCACTAGGTTTTTCATATAAAACACAATAATAATGATAATAATGTACAACTAACTTATGGTGAATGTGAACTAACAAAAACTCATTTGAGAAAGTAATCATAAATTAGTAATATCCCAATGAGTAAAAATACAAACTTTTACTTCATCGGATATCATGAAGATATTATTTTGTTATTAACTTTCTACCGAATGCTCAATTTACATATAAAAAGGATACTACCTGATCTAAGGCCGGTAAAAAGTTTTGTCCTATTATGGGACTCCACAGCGATGTCCATTCACCAACCCACCAGGAATCGAACCTAACACTTACATTTTTCGCGGCGAGCGCCTAAACTTCAGATCACTGAGTCGGGATTCACTGATTGATTGAAGTTAGACATGCAAAACATTGGTTGCCGGCTCAGTGTTCTAATGATTAAGGGCTCCCTGTGAGGCTTGAAAGTATTAGGTTTGATTTTCAGTGGTATCTTGGACATGCACTGCTGATTAGTCCCATATTGAAATGAAGCAGCTATCCAGTGCTTCTTGATTTTTACCGGCCGTCTTATTAAGATTAGTCTGTTATATAAACTGGGAAAATATAAACTGTTGGACTGCAACATACTACCTAAATGCCATAATATACTTAAGAAATACTTATAGTTTTAACTTGTCCATAAGGATGACTTAGAATGCCTGTTGTTGATTAATTAAATAAACAAAGATGAAAAACCGTTTTACTGATAAACACTTGATTACAAATTGCAGATAATCTTTACAAAACCACTTTAATGAGTAGTCCTAATTATTGTCTTCAGGTCACTCAATGCAACTGATTCAGTACATTTAACCTAGAAAGTTTCACAATATTATTACTAATGATGATTCAAAGAATAAAATAATCATACATTTTCATATACGATGCTTAAATAACCTGTATTTGATTGTACTAATCAATGGATTGGTAGAAAACATTCTTCATTTGTATTTATAACTGAAGAGTCCGACGAATAAATTATGGGAAACGATCATTCACTCTAATACTCTTTGTTCTTAAATATTCTATGGGAAATTTTAGTTCATATTGTTATACTATGATCTTATTTCTAGATGGTGTTGTGTATGCTACTTATATCTACCGACATAAGTAGCATGTAAATCCAGTCGGAAGTGGAAAACTTGGCAGCATAAGGCTAAGAAGATCAAGTTGAAGAAAATGGAGACGGAAATAAGAAGGAATTGTAAATAGGAAGAATCGTATAGAATGTGAAGGACAAGCATTCAATGTATGATTCTCATATTTTACCAAGACATTCTGTACAGTAGCTGTCCCCACCTGTTTCCACCTTCATTCCATTAGTATGTTTTGAACTATATTACTTTTCATTACAGTGGGAAATAAAATATCATAGATTTTAAATATAAATTTTCATAACATGATTGTGCTTTCATTCAAAAGTGTTTTATTAGTGATTAGGTAAAAGAATGACGTTTTTCGTCTCATATAAGAATGATTAGTGATAAATCTTTAAATGACAGTTTAAATTACTGAGTTTTCTATTAGCATTTCTAAAATAATAAAATGCATCATTTATAATACTTGTTGGACATAAAAGTGATTTATGAACAATTTTGATAGATACCAAAGATTTTGTCAGATAATTTTAATGGTCTAAGGCTTATCACGATTAATGAAATCTAAAATAATAACAATCTGTTGAATTGGTCAAGTACAGTTTTAAATTGATCACCTAGATCAATCATGTCAGTAATTTTTTTGAGGTATAAAATCTAAATGCTAATGAAAGTTTCGGTTTCTTCATGATTCAACCTTACATTCAGTTAATTAATTAACGTTTACAGGATGAAAGTAACTTAGAAATTTGACTAAAACTATTCACTCACGTAATCCCTTTTAGATGTGCACAAAAAATGGTAACATTCGATCATCTCTTCATCCATGTTAAAAGACTATAAATAAATTAAGAATTTCAAGTGGGAAAGATAAAGGAGTCTTCCTGCTTTTAACGTCTACTTTTCAGATCTACTCTATTTTTGAAACACGAACTTTAATTTACGATTTGATAACACTAGTGCGGAGTGAAATTTATGGAAGACAGATTCTGCAGCATATCCTCAGAGACGGAAATATTAACAAAATCTCCATAAACATTCCTCTATGTTGGGCAGTAATTCGGATCACATCATAGATGAAATTTCCACTCCTCTAAAACTATTAGATTTATAAAATTAAATTTGTTTAATACTCATGAAATTACTGTCGTCTTTGTTATAGCTATCATGTCAACATCACGGTCTCTCAACATTTTTACGTCAATCACTGATTAAACTGAAAACATTCTGTTATATCTATATTTGTTGAAGAAAATTACGTGTGAATGACCTTATTCGAATGAGTATAACAATTTGAGGATAATCTTATATTAGGAACTGATATCAACCAAAAAATCATTGAAAACCTGAAAGTACTAATCGACTGTTTTGTTCGAAATGGTAATTGCTAATAAACCACACATTAGATTCAACTCGTGACTGTCAGTGATTTACATTGCCAAGTTTAATCAACTTGTGATATGATATAAGTTTCTTTAAATGTGACTGATGAGTTACTATCTCACTTCCAACTAGTTTAATTTCTCAGGTCATAACTTTTTACTGGGACCCAACGATAATAATCCCAATGCTGCTCACGAATAAACATACGACTGTTATCAAGATAGGTTGCTCTCCAGAGGTAATGACAGTTGAAAATCACAGTTCTCTAGTTATCCATGGCAGTTTAACTGAAGTAGTCTAGTGATAGAAAATAACCTAAAATGAGAATATGGCAACCGTTTAACCGTAATTACCAAAATACTCGGAATTCAAAAACCATTGTACAAGGGTAAAAGTCTCCAGATAATTAAAATAACCAATCGTGTCATTGAATAGTAATAAAGAGAATTCAGCGAAGAAAATTTTCCTTTCGATGAAACCATTTACTTAAGCTGTACATTCGTATTCATAGTGGTATGGTAAATATATGTCTATAGAAGGATAGAAAATATTGCATCATAAAGTGATTTAAGACTCCAAATACCAAATGACGTTGTGTAGTAATCAGGGGCTTAGAGAAGAGTAGAAGGATGAAATTAATTTACGGGTCAGAATTATTTAAGATATTTGTCCGCTTGACATATATGAAGGCAAAAAAAGAAAAACATAAAGGTTATAATAATAACTGAATAATGATCATCAAAAATTGTTAAAGGATAATGATAACTGAATACGGTTTAAAATTACGGAACAATAATTTCTAAAAAACAAGACCAAAACATACTACAGAAGGGAAATAGGGCTAAAGAAGGATGAGAGATTGAACGTATCATTTTGTTCGCCGGGATCGGGTTTGAGTTGGTGGACCGCCAACGTCTAAGCAGTGCATAAGTTTTTGATTCGGCCTCCTTTCATTTCAGTTCCTCTGATTGCGTTCGTTGTTTTGAAGGAAGACTCCTTTGGAGCAACGTGTCTGGAGATGATTATGTGCTGCGGTATCGAACTAGTGACTGCTTTGCATTCTCCTTTTAAAATCCACGCCGGATAATGTTCCGAGATGCGTTTAGAAAGTGATCGCTTTGTGCAAGTAATGCAACTTGTCCTACAGGAGCAAATAAATTTATAGATACTAACCGATGTGGATCAATGTAGAAGTTTATCCATAACACATCCGTGAATGGTAGGCCGGCTTCAGAAGACGATACGGAGCTTAGCTTAGTGAAATGTTTTCAAGTCTGTTTATTCAAGAGTCCGACAGTCGTGTCTCCTTTAAATTCGATATTCACAAAAAAAGTTGATTTTTTTAAACTGTCGGTGCTTCTTAAGGATTTCGTCGTGGTGTTAAGTTCCTATCGACAAATCTATGTAGATAATCATTTCTGGTGAGTATCTGTCAAAGTTGAAGTAGTTCATCTATTGTGTCATTGGAAAATAATCATCTAATCCTTGAGGATAAGTAGTGAATTAAGTCTCTCTTTCAACTCAATGAGACCCAACTATGAAAATTCGTGTACTGACTATTCCAGGTCATTTTCCTATATATAGATCTCTATAAAGAATCAGCTGAACTTTTCAACTAGACATCAAGAAAATGAAATTTCTTGTTTGCCACTGCTTCCAATGTGAATTGAATTGAGTGAAGACAAGTACTGAATCGATCCCAAAACTTCATTGTGGTCCATATCTTCACAAATAGTGAAAGTAACTTTAATATAAATGAAATCTCTCGATTATTGGTCTAAGTACAGTGTTTTCCAGATTGGCCATGAAATATTGAACCACGAGATAGCCCAGTGGTAAACCCATTACAATTCCATCGGTTTGTCTATAGAAATCATTACGAAGTCTAAATTCCACGTTGATAGTACATTGTAGAAGTAGCTCTTTTAGAAAACGTCTTAAGATACAAGTGTAAAAGTTGTTATTTTCAATATGATCACATGAAAAACGTAGTTTCTGTGAGTGGAACATTTGTAAAGAGAGAAGTAACATCCGATGAGACCATTTTTTTTTTATTTCCATCGATATTTCTAATTGAATCGGCAAAATCGATTGAATTAAGAAAGTTGTATCTGTTATTGTGATTCCTGGTGGGTTGTAAGATTTTCAGCTAACCATTCAGCAATCAACTGGTATAGATAGTTACTCATATTAAGTCTATGATGTAAGGGGACAAAAGTAGAAGTATGAAATACATTATAGACAATATATGGATTATTTAGAAAATCAATAAATTAATACGTTTTAAA